AAATGACATTTTGGGGACTTCTCTGGTTTCCCAGTGGCTAAGATTCCATGCTCCCAGTGCTGTGGTCCTGGGTTTGATCCCTGGCCAGGGAATTAGATTCCACATGCTGCAACTAAAGATCCCAGGTGCTTCAACTAGACCTGGTGCAGCCAAATAAATATATATTTTTGAAATGGCAATTTCATCTGGCTTAGCTTAACATTTGGGGTTCTCAAGGCAAGAACACTGGAGTGGTTTGCTATTCTCTTCTCCAGTGGATCATGTTTTGTCAGAACTCTCCACCATGACTCCCTCCACCTTGAGTGGCCCTGCATGGCATTGCTCATAGCTTCATTGAGTTATGCAAGCCCCTTCGCCATGACAAGGCTGCAATCCGTGTGATCATTTTGGTTAGCTTACTGTGATTGTGTTTTCATTCTGGAGGCTGTGGGATTGTAGTTCTTTCTCTGTGATAGATGAGAATAAGAGTCTTGTGCAAGCTTCCTGATGGGAGGGACTTCAGTTCAGTTCAGTTCAGTTGCTCAGTCGTGTCCAACTCTTTGCGACCCAGTGAACCACAGCATGCCAGGACCCCCGTCCATCACCACCTCCCAGAGTCCACCCAAACCCATGTCCATTGAGTCAGTGATGCCATCCAACCATCTCATCCTCTGTCGTCCCCTTCTCCTCCTGCCCTCAATCTTTCCCAGCATCAGGGTCTTTTCCAATGAGTCAGCTCTTCGCATCAGGTGGCCAAAGTATTGGAGTTGCAGCTTCAACATCAGTCCTTCAAATGAACACCCAGGACTGATCTCCTTTAGGATGGACTGGTTGGATGTCCTTACAGTCCAAGGGACTCTCAAGAGTCTTCTCCAACACCACAGTTCAAAAGCATCAATTGATGGGAAGGACTGCATGTGGAAAAACTGAATCTTGCTCTAGTGGACAAGGCCAAGCTCAGTAAATCTTTACTCCAATTGCCTTCTGATGGGTGCAGCTGTGCTCCCTCCTTGTTCATTGTTTGACCTAAGGTGATGCAGTTCCAGATTCTATAGGCAATAGCTTAATGTGTACTGACAGTTCCTTTTGGTGTGTTTCCCTTGCTTGGTATTGGCTAGCTTTGTACATCTCATTCCTCTTTTGCTCAAGACATATGAAAAAAATTAAAAGTTTCATTTCCACAATTTTTGGAAAGACAAATATAAACATAAACATCTATCCTTCTAAAATGAAGGAAAATTAGTCCATGGGGATTCTCCAGGCAAGAATAGTGAACTGAGTTGCCATGCCCTCCTCCAGATGTTCCCAACCCAGAGATCAAACCAAAGTCTCCCACATTGCAGGCGGATTCTTTATCTGAGCCACCACGGAAGACTTTATGAATGTTTAGTAAAAGTTAAAGCATTCATTCTCATATGCAATTTACTTAAAAACACCTTTTCCTATAATTCATCTGGCTCAGCTACGCAAACAGTCTTTCTAAAACACAATGACTTCTTTCCCAAAGCTTATGTCTATAAACTCGGAGTTCAGCGTTCTAATTCTCCAGTCATCTTTCTGATTCTCTCCGCTGTCACTCCCTACAATATACTCACCATTCTAGGAAGAGTGGTCACGTTCAGGTCCCAAAACATAACTTGCTTATTTCTGCCATGTTACTTTTAGTTCATTTGATTGATCTCACTTCTTCAGGCTTCTTCACTACCTAAAGTGTATCTTTCATTCAGATTCTAAACCAAGATGCATTCTTTTCCAGGGGAATAAGAAAAATTCAGCCCCTAGTGCTATTTATACCGTGTGAACGTGCTCGGTCATGTCCAACTCTATGCGACCCCATGGACTGTAGCCCGCTAGGGTCCTCAGTACATGGAATTTTCCGGGCAAGAATATTGGAGTGGGTTGCCATTTCCTTCTCCAGGCAATCTTCCTGATCCTGGGGTTGAACCTGCATTTCCTGCATTAGCAGGTGGATTCTTTACCACTGAGCCACCTGGGAAGCCCTCTATTTATTGTATCCATCATAACTGACTCTATGTTCTGGTTATGTACATGTCTCATCTTCTTGGTAGGGCACCTAATTTCTTTGGCCTATCTTTAGTTACTCAGCTCTGAGCTATCTAGGCAGTAAATATTTTGATTACTAAGGTATGCAAGGTTTTCTAGTTGACTATTCCCATTTTCATTCCTCCTGGTCTGGTGATGGTTGGAATAGATTGCAGGTTAAAGTAGATGAGATATTATGCTCCAGTGGAGTTCAGTGATATCATTGCTCGTGTCAAAGCAAGGCTGCTGCCCAACAGAACTGCCTGGACATGACAGCCACATCCCTATTTTTGTCTCTTGGTTTTCCTTCTTTTTCACTATCAGGACCCAATTTTTCTAAATGGTTGGTTCTTTCAACTCTAACTATGGCAGGAGATGTCCTTTCCCAGAGCAGGATGATGCCCTGATTCAAGAGAGGGCAGATGCTGCCATCAAAGCTTTTAACAATCTTTCTGTTTTCTCAGTTTTTTAACTCTGGGAAAATAAAAGTAAAAATGCAAACAAAAGCGAAAAAGACAAATGTTTTTGCATTTTCTAAAAAAGTGTTTTTTGTGGCTGATATTGTTATATGTTACATTGCTCTTGAAGATTATAAACCACATCCATGGTTTGCATTATTATTTTCCTCTGGAGTTTTAACAAGTTTATTAAATAACACTTGCCCACATTTAGGTTGCTTTAGCTAAAGTCTTACTTCTTCCTGGCTTTAGTTAGATAAGATTCTTTAATATTTAATACCAATTTATTTAATTGAAATAAAATATAATCAAATAATGAGAATTATTTGGCTGGAGTATCCCAACAGAATACTATTTTTAATTATTTTTATTTTTTTACTATTGTCTCTTATAGTAATTAATGATCATAATTGCCCTCAAGTTTCAAAATACTCAGATGTTTCTGAAAATACTGCACATGCAATAAAGCAGCTGGATATGTCTTTTCTCCTTTGACATATCTTTTATCCCTTTATGATGCATAAATCATAAATAATATATCCGTTATTTTAGAGGAAGTTGTAAGGTTGGTACTTACAGATGTTATATTGTTTAGGCAGTGATAGTATATTTTATGAAACATTCAGAAAAACAAATGAGTTATACTATACTAATTTTAATCTTATTATTTTGTATGAGGTTATAATCTGATAACTGTTCTGTTTTGCCCAGAAATAGATTTTTCAGACTCTAGGAATTAAAAAATATGAGGGGGTTTTCAAGGATTCATTCTATTCTCAGATTTCCTTTTATCCATCGATGGCTGCAGGGCAGTATTTCTGCTCTGCATACCTTTTAATCTTGAAGTTTAGAGAATTGTTGTCTTTTTTCCTTCTTCTCTATTTTTTTTTTCTAAGTCCGACTCTTCACAAGGAAGCCAGAAGTGTGACAGGAAGGTGTGATTTTTAATTTACACCAGAGTCTCGCAAATAATGACTTTTCACACCCTGCTATTGCTGCTTAGCCTAGGGGAGGAGTTCTGTGGCTACTGTTGTCGTAGCAAATTAAATCCACTGCTGTAATTTGGAAAGACGTTCTTCTACATTTAACCCTTGTTTTCAATTTTCTAGCTTGGTGTTCATGAATACTTATGGGAATGTGGTTTATTCCTTTGAAGTGTCCTTGCTTTTTAGGAAATTATTTTTGAAGTCTGTTATCTTTTCAGATTGTCAAGAATGAAAGGGAATCAGGTTCTCCCTTGCCACCATTCCAACTGCTGGAAATTGTAACTTATTCAAATACACAAAAATGAAAAATACAATAATATTTATTTGGAGAACTTCTAGCAATACAATTTAAATACATGTCTTAATGACTCTTTTTATCTTTCCTTGGGATTCCATTTCTGTAAGATTAGCTTTTCCCTCTGTTTTTATAGGAGAGTCAGTATCTTACTGTACAAAGAAATCTATATTGTCTGATTTGAAAGATGAAATCGAAAGTAGTGTTAAAAAGATTTAAATGTTTTAAGTTTTTTCAGTTTCTCTCCAGTCCATTAAGTCATTTGGATTGAACTATTAAAAAACAAAAACAAAAAACAGGACGGGCTGCCTAAGGGAAATTAGAAAAATTATTGCAGCAGGCATACTTGTTTTAAATTTTCAAATGGTCAGAAAAGAATAGTGACAGTATAACTGAATAGTTAAAGAATATATCTTGCAAACAATGTACCTCTTCACTTAGAATTATTGACATATTGAATTATTTTCCCATTTTGAATCTACCAACTTATTTTTTTTAGGTTTTCAATCAATGTGCTAGTTTGTACTAGTTATTTTATGAATCATAATGGTCTTCAATAAAGTTCTAGAGCTGAGTGGAATACGTAAGAATATTATTGAAAGGAAAGAAACATTCAGACTCTCCTGAGAACTTGGCTCCTACTTGGTCCTGTTGCTAAACAAAGCCATCAGAAGCAGTTACAAGCTCTCTCTCCTGGATGGGAGCTGCAAGGGGTTAATCAGACAGGGTTTACTAAGTATCTCTGTCAGGCTTTTATCTGATCCTTCCATCCTTCCTCCCTTCCTCCCCTACCCACCCCTTGTGTAAATGTCAACCACTTCCTGATAAGCCTAGTAGTGGTGAATTTCACACCTTTCTTTTCTTTGTGAAGAAACCTGGGTGTTAAGGGTACAGGATTGAGTACCATTGTATGTCTCTAGCTGTCTGTTAGTAAACCTGAGGGATGCCTGTGGAAAAAAAGTAGGGGAAGGTGAAGAAATTTGAGAAATGAGACTAAGAAATAGGTTCAAACTGGTCTCATTTTCAAAACGGGTATTTATTAGCAACTTTTAGATGTGTATTCAGAAAACAATAATTTTAAAGAAGCTTAATATTGAGAGTCTCAAAGAGTCTGCAAAGGAAAGGCTTAGACTGCTGATCGTTAAAATTAAACAGAAGAACAACAGTCAGAAAGAAAAACTGAAGACTCCTCCTTTTATTCTACAGGTGTATTTACAGGTGTATTTACAGGACACAGCCATGGAAACTTGGTCAGTTGATCAGGTGTGCAGTTGGCTGGTGGAGAAAAACTTAGGAGAGCTAGTACATAGGTTTCAAGGTGAGTTGTTTATACTTTAAAAAATGTTAATTGAGCAGTCGAGATATTGAGTGTCCTCTGTCATTGATTGCTTTTTTCCTAATGCATGTGAACATTGATATGGGGTTGCTACAGTAAGAAATTTTCATTTCCTTACCGACTGTAGCAGAGTTTGCATTTGACCTAGTATCCATGAGAAAATCTAATTATTTCAAAAAGAACTCAAAATAAATCTTGAGTTACTTAAAATACATATTTGATATATATATTTAATATTACTTTTGTCCAGGATGTGCATTTTTAGGCAGCTCTGTATAGTGTTGGATTTACAAGTATTGATTATTGCCTGGGAGGTACATTAAGAATACTTTTCCAAAAAGATTTTTTTTTTCCTTGTGAAAACAATGTTAGAATCAGAAGAGGGGAGGCATTAATGTGGATGTAAAAAATTTTATTGTGACTCCATTTTGCAGTACTTTCTTAGGAGCGGACATGCATTTGGAATTATGCAATTTTAGTGTCCTATTTTTGCAAAAACACAGATAATTTTATAACTACAGAGCACAAGTTTAGATGCTCCTTTTAACATGAGAAATAATTCTGCCTGCTCAGGGTGCCGTGTTTTACAGTATTTTACCCAGCAGACAGGTAGAGATTTTTTTCTCTTTTTCCCAGAGGAAGAAGTAAGTGGGGCTGCTCTCCTAGCACTTAATGATCGGATGGTTCAGCAATTGGTAAAGAAAATTGGGCACCAGGCTGTTCTAATGGATTTAATTAAGAAATATAAGCAGAAGAGTCAAGAGCTGAAGTCCCCTGGAGAAACAGCCCCGGTCATGCAAGCAGAGTAAGTGTTCATGAATGGCCTTATTTTTGATTCTGTGCTTTCCCTAAGATGGCTGTAGCATGGCATATGGAGTTTAAACTTTGTTGAAAATTGTGACCATTTTCAACTTGTGTGTACAGTAACAGTTTTTGCAGAGTTTTATGAATCAAGATACTTTTTCTTTTAATGCACCAGGTTTTTAAACTCTAACTCCATTTGTTAGGGAAGAACTATAAGCCTGTATAGAAATCTCTGTAATAAGCAGTTAAAATATAACACAAGCAGAAATGAACTCCTGCAGCTTAGGTCTTAAAGTTAAGACTTGAGGAAGGCATCTTTTTCTGCTTCTTTGATTTCCCCAAAACTATTTATGTGTGTATTTACTTATTTGCCCAGGATTCCTTATAGTAACTAATTTATATTCTCTTCTAGAGGCCCTCATAATATGATTTGCCAAAGATTTTTGCTGCACTGGATTTCAAGAGTGTTCTTGGAGCACTGAATGCTGTGGTAGCTTCCCACAGAAGTCTTGTAGAAAAATTTGTGATGGTTTTGAGGTTTTGATGTTATTTTTTTTTTTAATCATTGACTTCTGCCATCAAAAGGAATGATAACAAAAATTATAAAATTAAAAATTTCACTTTATAATCTATGCCCCAGGATCATTTCAGACATTCTGATTTGGCTTTTTGATATTTGAAACTTTTTGCCAGATTTCTAAGTTTAAATAACTACTGCATTCTGATTATTCATTCGTTTTTAAAATAAGGTTATGATTGATGAAATCCATTCCATGTTTTTACTTTAGTTTTTTTCTTTTCAGTATATCTGTAAAACCCCGTTTCTGTCTAGCTTTTTTATAAGCAGTGCAATGTTAGAGAGCTCTAACTTAGGTAATTTGATTTCTAGAGAATTTGAATATTTGGGACAAGGAGGGGGGATAGGTCAGCTTGAAGGAATGGACCACATTTGGTCTGGAGAGCCTACCATTTGATTTATTTGAGGGATTTCTTCTAAATGTTGTTTTGACACATCTGTGTAAAAGATATGTGACTTTTGATGCAGTTCCCATTTTATGCCTTACTCCTTTGCAGCGCAGGGAGGGATTAAACCTCATATAGAGCTCGAAGTAATTTCCCAGCATTCTTGGATGAGTTGGACTCTTGAGCTGGAAGTTCCCCTCAGTTGACTGGAATCTTGATGTTGCCTTAGGCACAGCTTGGAAGAAAACTGACAGCCTTTTTTCCCACTGCAAAGCAGTTTATAATGTTCTCTAGTAAATGAGAACTAACTGGGCTGCCAGGAAGTCTGGGCATCATTCCTGGTCCTACCACTGACTTGGATTGATTGCATTAAATGTTGACACTCCTTTTGCTTCATCTCTAGGTTGTGAAAAATAATACATACTTAATTCCATGTTAATCACACTGATGTTCAGAGTATCATAATCTTTGAGAAAATATCTCCTCCTTCTCCCACACTAAAATATAGTCTTTTGTTAAATATTAAGCATTATTACTGTGCTTTATAAAGCCACATTTTGGAATGTAACCATGACTTAGAACATTGGTTTTCCAGGGGCTGAGTGGGGACTCTTCATTCTACCCAGTAAATAATTGACTCTAAGGTTTGTGTTGTTTTACATTCAGATTCAATTATTCTGGTGCAAAAATCACAATTTCAAGTAGGTTTATAGGTTATAGTTAGCTAAAATGTTTATCAGCTATATTTGCTTATTGTCAAATACGTAGGCACTTGACAAATACATTGTCATGTGGGACTCATAGTAATAGAAAAAAGGTATAAGAATATGCTATTTATTTAGTTAAACAATTTAATAAGTTCTTAATAAAGATAGGAAATTTGGTGTAGTAAAAAGAACCCTGAAGCTAGGTATTAAAACTGGATTACGGATCTCTGTTCTGATATTAGCTACTCATCTAACCTTGGAGATTTGCTTGACTTTTCTTAGTTTCAGCTGTAAAATGAAGTGGGTAGAATAAATGATGCTTAGGACTCCCTCTGAAGAGTTTATAAATTGGCAGCCTAGATCAGAGTTCACAGATGGGTTTGGACTTCAGTATAAACTTCATTTAATGGCTAACAGTTGCCTGGTATGTTACTTTAAAAAAAAATTTACAGGCCACATATGGACAGGATACTTGGCCTCCAACTCAGATTTAGGCAAATGACAGGAGTATATCCAGTTGCTTTTTGTGTTGCTCTTGTTGAAGCCGGTAGAAAAATCACTGGACAGGAAGTTGGAAAGTTGGAAAACTGAGGTATTGGTTGCTGTTACTGAGTAGCTTGTGATTGTAAGCAAGTTGCCTTCCTTTCAGTTGTATCACTTAGAAGATGAAGGAGTTAGTGAAAAGAGGTTCAAAGATCATGAAATTCCACAAATAATAAAAGGTCTCCCTAGATGGCAGGGAAGAGAGAAAGGATCTGAAATAGAGTTCATTTTTTTGCCAAATAATAATGTTAATCAACAAAGGTATATTCTGTTATTACCACTGTTTTATAAAGGAAAGGATTATCAGTAATGCCGTTTTTAAATGTGATAGAGGAGTGAAAACAGCAGAGTGAACTGGCATCATCCCTCTCCCAGCATGTATAAACCGGTAGCGAGTGAGATGGCCCCAGAGGGTTTTTCTTTCAGTCCTCTTAGTCATGACTCTAATGTGGAGCTTGGAGTGGACACAGATCATAGTGTTTACTCCGGGCTGATTATATGACAGCAACAGTTGAATGCCCTAGACCCACCTTTTCTTTCTCGGTGACAGGGATGAACAGTGCTCCAGCCCGGCCAGTGGAGGGAAGCAGATGCCATCTTTCTGTCCAGCTGACAACCTTGATAATGGATTAATTGACCACCGAGTGCTGAAACAGAGGTGGGATGGACAACTTCTAAACATCTGAAAGCCAACTGATAGTATTTGTCTTTATTTTTATGAGGTTTCATGTTTAAATGCATTTCTAAGTGGAAACTGTTTGTTTTTCTGGAAGGGACTTTTGTAAATCAAGTGATGAAGACATTTGGTAAGAGATGAAGGTCAATTTTTTTTATCTTTGCATTGAACAAGTTAAGTTTTGAGATGATATTATGCATCTTTCAAGGACATGTTGTTAAGGAAAAAGATGATTTTTCTGTCATAAACTGTCCAGTGTGATTAGCAGTAGCCACAAAGATGGAATTTGTTCTGCAAATAGTGTCTTATAGAATTAACTTTTTGAGGAGTCTTTTTTTTTTTTTTTTTGAATTTGAATTAACAGTCTTGACTATTCCTGAGGGAGGCACTGCTTTTTTTTTTTTGGCGGGGGTGGGGTGGGGGAGGCACTGCTTTGTTAAACATTTCCTTCCGTCCCTAACTGGGTTTTATGAGCTGCAGTATTTCAACATATGGGCTACACTGGAACAGAGGAAAACGATGTATCTAGAGAAACAGACCCAGGAGTGTGGCACTAAAAGTCCTGAGGGGCACTGTAGGTAAGAGATGGTCCAAGAATCACGGTAGTCAAGCTAGCATCTCCCAGCCACCTGCCCTGTGCAGTTCAGGCATCACCCTGATGCCTATTCTTTTCAGCAGCTGCTGAGCAAATGCTTTTCTTTAAGTGTACTGTCATGGAAAGGAGAGATGTCAGCTGGCACCATATAGTCAGGCGATAGCCAAGCCAGAGCATCATCCTTTATAGTTTCACTTTCCATTATCATCTCATCTAGTGCACACAGCAGTCCTGTCAGGTCGGTATTATTCTCTCTTTCTTGTGAATGAGTTAAACAGATCTAGAGAAGTCAAGGGACTTCTATCTAGTTTCCAAATGGGCTGTTCTCACCGCTGCACTGGACATACTGCCATCAGCGTGGGAGTTCAGGGGACCAAAGGCAGCGGCCTCGGCCCCTGGCCGCCCAGCCCCAGCAGCCCCGTGAGTGAGTGCAGGGGAACTTGGCACTTTGATCAGGTGCTCTTGCAGATGGGCTTCGGCTCTGGGCATCCTCTCTGCTCTCTTTCTCCACCACCTGCAACCTTGCACTCTCATCCCTGGGCTCAAATGCTCCAGCTCTTCAAGTGGTAGAATCCATCTTCCCTCACAACATTGGCTCCACTTATGTGATGAATGAGGAGATAGAGGCAATATCCTGGGTAGGGCTTGGTCCCCGGGGTCTTCCTGGTCTGAACTGCGGTTCAGAAGATGTAAATATGTTTGAATGATGGCTTCATTCACCGTCCTTCTGTTCACGGGTGCTGGTTGGTTCCCAGTGTCGTCCTTCGATGTGGTTCCAGGTGTGTGGAGTCAGGCGGGGGTCTTCAACTTCATGAAGCTGCCAAAAGTTGCCAGTCCCTTCTCTGACTGTTCAGTAGAGGCAGGACGAGCGACGATTAGCCCCAGTGGTCCAACCCTGACATCACTGTGAATCAGTATTCAAACCGAAAGATGGGAATAATAACCACAAATACTTCTGTCACAGGGCTCCTGTGAGGACCATTATCTAAAGATAGATAACTCCTGCTCAGTGCTAAGCCAGGAAGCCCTGGAAAGCATTCAGTACCACAGTCTACTCAGCGTGGCTCCAGGTAGTAAGCTCACTTTGCTGAGGACCTCTTTCCTCTCCCTTCTTGCTGCCAGTGGGAGATGAGGATGCCCTTTCTACAGGTTCTCTGGGTCCTTTCTTTTTCCTAAGCCCTCTGACAATATTCCATTCTTATATGGTCCTGCAATACTGGCCGAATCGGATTATTATGCCTATTTTTTCACATGGCTGATCAAAAGCACAACCAGTGCTTCAGGGTATTTCTCATTCTTTATAGTGTCTGGCATGGAGGAGGGGGAAAAAAAAACAAACAGAATTGTGTTAGAAATGGAGAAAAACAGGAGAGTTTGGAATCCAGAGTCTCATATCTTTCTTCTAATCATAAAATGTCTCCTAATCTATGTGCCAACTGGCTGCTCATCACAAGCACCACAGTTAAACATGTCCAAAAACTGAACTCATGTTTCTTGCTTTAGTGTATATTTAAGTATAAGAAATACAAATTCGCTAGAACCCAGTGACAGGGGTAGAGACACCGGTGCTGGAAAGCCAGGGGTCAGGCGGTCCCTCCCTCACTTTCATGGAGCCACATGATGGCCATCTCCATCTCTCTTTTGCTTCCCTCATCTGCCTCATGCCCTTACTTCTTCCTTTGAGGATGGATTTATCCTACTATTCATGTACACTCTGTCCCATTCAGACTGGCTGGCCTATGGCAAGCTCACCACAGCACTGCCTCCAGGAAATTCTCCGTGAAAAGAGCTCAGATCACCCCAAATAACAGACTCAGTCTTTCAGTATCTGGGGAAGAGGAACTAGGGGGGTTCCAGTGCAGGTCAGATGTTCTCTCCTGGGCAGTCAGCTATGCGTGGGCAGATGAGGACACAGCAGAGGTACCTGTTTCAGATAGTTTTTCTCTGGTTCTGCCATTTATTCAGGGCTATGGAATGAGGAGGGATAGAAGATTTTCTCCACTCTCACATCCTTTCTCAGAGAGTGGCTCCATCATCCAGCCATGTGAGTTAAAATCTGATCCCTGGATGGGGAACTGGATTCCACATGCTGCAACAGAGTTCATATGCCACAACAACAAAAAGAAATCCTCATGTGGCAACAAGTATCAAGGATCCTGCATGCCACAATTAAGAACTAAGACCTGGCCCAGCCATATAAACAAATACTTTTTGAAAATCGCCTATCTCCTGCCCTTCGTTCAACAGGTGTTGATTTAAGAGCCTATTGCACAGTTCCTGCTTCAGGCTGTGTTCTTCCCTTCCCTTCTCTACCTGCTCATCATTGAAGATTCTGCTCAAAAATCCCTGTTTCTGAAGGAAACCGCCCGCCTCCACCACTGATATTCCAGCTCAGGCAAGGAGCCCTTTTTCTACCATGTAGCATCCTCTACATACCCCTTTCTTATAAGACTAGATAATGGAACTGATCACTTTAAAGTCTGTATTCCCTCCATACAAGTGCTACCTGGGCAAAAGCGATACCCTTTTTCCCTTGTGAGCAAAGCATTTGGCATAGTACTTGGCAAACAGAGGCTAAATAGGAGTTTTTATTTGAAATGAGGATGTAAGGTCCAACGAAAGACTGAATACACCTTTACAAGACAGGATAAATATTTGAATAGTATCACTTTCTCTTTAGACATTTTTGATACAATTCCTGCTATATATGCTCATTTTTTGAACAGAATTAAACCTCAGGAGTTTATGGGCCACCCATAGATAACAGGCTAGCAAGCTGATGTGTGGCTACAAGGCTTTCACGAAGCCATGTGCTTTAATGAGGTGGGAAAGGATGGTGGATCGAGTGCCAGCCTTGGGATCTCTCACACCAGGGGTGGGAATCCAGGCTGTCACTTGTGGTCCAGTGGGTCTCCGCACATCGTGTGATGGGAGCCCCCACCTGCAGGTGCAGTAACAGTGAAGGTCCCTGGCAGCTGCTAAAATCCCATACAAGGTGGCCGGCATTATTCTTGTGATAATTTCTCCTAGGTTCCCTAAAGGGAACATGTGTTTTCTATCCAGATCATTTGCAGACAAGAAATAAAAGAAGGCTCTAGAGGCAGGACATTCACATGACTTTGACTCTTGAAACGATGTGTGTGTCCCAGTGGATGAATTCCGAGTCCCAAGGAAACACATACTGCTGTGACATGAAGCAGCTTTCTTTTGTGATAGGTGATCCCATGCTCTTTACTGAATTGCTTAAATGCCCTTTCTTGATGGAAAGCTTATAAGGTCCTGTCCTCAGCATGTGTTGGTGATCCTTTAGAAAGATATTTTTTCTTTTGTAATGCCGTTCTTCATTTTTCCTCTATACTGTTTGAAACTGTTTGTTTCACTCTCGTTACCTAATAAGGCATGAAACCAGGTGAACAGGTAGAGGTCTCCTTAATGCCACTTTAAAAACACTTGGCCTGAACTTTAAATATACGTGTGTGCAGATGTTTTGCTTCAGCCTTTGGGTGTAATTATAAATTAGTCACAATTTCACGCATGTTTTAAAATTATTTTAAAGATGACTTTTTTTCTGGTTCTGGCTACTACTATAAAATACTGTAGAATGATCTTACTCACCTGCCTCTGCTCAGGAGGGCAAATGTCAGTAGGTCCACGCTTGACATATTGTTTGTAGGCAATGGCGCATGCATGGCTAAAATAAGGAACAGCACTCTCATGTGTGTATCTTGTCCATCACATAATAAGGGGAGGTTCAGAGTGCACCAAGACCACCCAAGTGATACATGGTCACATGTGATGCTGAATCCCAGGTCAGTGAAACAAGAGTGCAGTGCTGCATCCCACATCTCCTACCCTGCAGGGATATAGAACACCCATGCCTAAGTTTTGTGTGTTTTGGACGTATTACCTTCCAAGTCTAGTCCCTGACTGGAGATTCGCAGTGTACAGTGACCGAGGAAATGCTATAAAGCGTCCCTTAGTAAGAAAACCCATTTCACTCTGTCTGGCCCGGAATTCTTTCTCTGCGTGCCATCTATTAACATCACAGGACCCACCTTAGGAACTGCTGACTTAATGATTTCTTACCTGAGTCAGGGTCCATTCATTCATTCCATAGCAAACATTTACCTGGTGCTTACTGGATGCCAGGCCCTGGGAGGTACAGAGGATACACTGGGGGGTGGAGCAGACCAAGCCTCCCACCTCACAGAGTTCTCATTCTAATAGTGAGGAGATAATAAATACCTATGATGTTACATTGTAAATATGTTTAAGTGCTATGAGAGTCAACAAGGCAAAGAAAAAAGGGGCGAAACTGAGGAAATGGTGTGTGTAAGTGCATGTGTGTTAGCTTCAGGAGGGCTTTCAAGGCAGTCTTTCGACTTTG